AGGAGGAGATCGACCGGCAGCGGAGACTGCTGGACCTCACCTGGAGACCCCGGGTCAGCTTACAGCGAGCAGGTTCGGAGCCGAGCGGTACCGGTCGGGTTCTGCTGGGGGACGGGATCAGAAACATTAAATAAAAAATGTCAGAATATTACTGGACAGTATCAACATTCAGGCCGGCTGGCAGCCCAAACACAGCATCCTTTTAGAAATATTACAAAATATATCAATATTTATTTGTGACTCGGTGAATAATGTCATGTTTATTTTTAACTTTTTTTATTTTTGTTTCATCCTTTTACTATTGGACTTTGTGCCTAGAATAAAGATGTGATGACATTTAAAGACAGGATGATGTCTGTCTGCTCCTCGCTGCTTCCTCCGTTCAGCTTCCTGTTGATGTTACTGCTATTGAAGCCGAACTGTGACAAAAATCCAAGATGTTAAATATATTATATCATAATTCTGAATCATTTTTTTCTTAGTGTCTTTGCTTTATTTGGCAGCTCCAGCTTTATTATTTTTTCCCAAGTATAAATATTTGTTTGCAGCTTTTGGAGTGACAATATTCCAGGTTTCTGTTTCCGGGGTCAAACCTTCCTTTAGCAGTCGAGGTTCTGCTGAACTGACTTCATTACAGCCTCTGGTACGTGCAGCATCTCCACTCACCTTGGGAATAGCAGTGAGGTCCAACAGAACCAGCACTGCGCTGCTTCCACAGTCCATATTTATGCAGACATCATTCAGTCTCACAATGACAGAAAAAACCTTCTTAAAGGGACAGTGTCCTCTAAAGTCATGTCATGTTTTTCCCTACAGTGTTACCTTGATCCTTTCAACTTTGAGAAATCCTTTAATCTCCATGGCAACCATTCAGCCTGGGTGGACCTAGCCCCGCCTTCAAGGCTCAGCTCCTCCCCACTCAGCTCCTTCAGACTAGCTAGCAGCAATTAGCAAACAGCTGGTGGAACTGCTGAGCTCATTATCGGAGCTGCTGGTAAAATAAAAACATTAAAGGGTTAATAGAGGAGCCATGTTGGGATGAGTTAATGGAGGCGGAGCTTCAGAAAGCAGGAGCTTCTTAAAGTGACAGAGGCCCAATTTCAAGGAGTTAAATCAAGAAGTAACATTTATTTTTAGTCATATTTGATATTTGTATGAAACAACTTTTGTTTCATACAAATATAATTGACATGAAAAAATTTTTATTCATTTGTGTCGGTCGCTATAAATTGAGCTTTTCTGAATCACACCACCAGGTCAGAATATCCAGAGATGGAAACCAGAACTTTTGTCAGTGATTTCTAGATATGGATCAATTTTAGAGAGGTAACATGGTGACTTGTTTGTTCTATAAAATGTTTTTTTGTGATTGGAAAACACGTGATACTGGCCCTTTAAAGAAAGCTGTGGGATATAAAGACAGCAGAGGAGCTTAGCTGATCTATTATGTCCTCTAAAGTTTTTTTGCTGATATTGATTGGGGAAAACATTGTGATGGACTTGATAAATATGTACAGATTGGAATCTTTCCATTCCTCTCTCTCAATCTGCTTTTTATTGATGAAAATTTGAATTTCTATCGAGGAGACGGGTCTTTTTCACTGATGTGTTGTTCTTTAGAGTTCTGAATAAAACCAGAGAGCCACAGTGAGGAAGTAACACTAAAAAAAGAGCGTCAATTTGTTAAAGAGTAAAGATTACATTAAAATGGAACAGGTTGTTTACAAGTTGTCTGCATTGTCTGATCTATTGTAATATTTTCTCTCAAGTTTGGAGTAATCAAAGTCAAAGTTTATTAAAAACAGTCGGACATGACGGAGCTGCAGGGAATTAGTGTCATTTGTTCACAGTTGATGCCATATTTTAGCACAAGGTCTAAAGTACGAAGGCTAAAGTGACGAGGTCTGTGTTTGAGAGAGAAGTTGGATAATCCTAAGACTGTTTTATAGGCCGTCGTCTTCAGTGTCAGTATGAATGTAAAAATCCAACCAGTACTGTGAGGAATGTGAATATTTAAATAATTAGGAGTTGACTTATTCACACTAATACAATCCTTTTGCTGCTGCCAGCAGCTGAAACAAAGAGAAGCACACACCAACATTTTTTTTATACTTTATTTTTATTCGTTTTTAAACATACAAATACATACAATCAAACATGAGGGTTAGGGCAGACAGCAGGCAGACATCACAATTTTACAGACACTTTATGAAATCACAAAAACAAACAAAGAAGAAAACTCCCAGGTGTCTGTCCGAGTGATGTGGAGTCACAAGAATGAACTGCCACACACCTCTGGCTATAAAATCATACTGTCGGCGTGTTTGAAGAGATCTGATGTTATAGAGAAAACTGAGCAGATTGAAATGTTGTCAAATTCCACCTCAGTCTTATTGGTTGTTGAAAGGATGTAAATATGCTTGAAATGATTTAAGTGACCATTTCTTTCTTTACAGTCTCATTAATAGTGATTTTGTTTGTCCAGAAGTCCCAGGTTGTGATGCTTGTGAGGAGAAGGACGTCCAGACGGGTCAGCAGTCTTCAGACAAACGGACTGACTCCAGTTTGGACCAAGAGAAACCAGACCAATGGCAGAGGAAGACGGAACAACAAGACTCTGTTCCCCTTCAGATGAAAATTGAACTGGAGGAACCAGAACTTCTGCAGTTAAAAGAGGAAGATGGAGAAATCTGGATCAGTCAGGTTGAAGAGCAGCTTGTTCTGAATCAGCAGACTGATTCTCTCATGAAGGACGGAGAACCAGAACCAGACGGAGACCAGCGCTCGTCTCAGAGCTATCATGAAGCTGAGAACCTAAACCAGAACCAGAGCCACGATAAAGATAAAAGTAGAAATGAAGTTTTGAAAGAAAATAATGGTGATAAAACCAAACTAAAGAGGCACAGAGTTGAAAAAAGGGCTTTTTGCAAATTTTGTGGTAAAAGTTTCAACCAGTGTTACTTATATGACCACATAAGAACTCACACAGGTGAGAAACGTTTCTCCTGTAAAACCTGTGGAAAGGGTTTCATTCAAAGTTATCAGTGTACTGTTCACATGAGAACTCACACAGGAGAAAGACCTTACTTGTGTCAGACGTGTGGGAAAAGCTTTATCCAAAAAAATAACTTGGTTACTCACATGAAAATTCATTCAGGTGGGGCACACCATCCATGTGACATTTGTGGGAAAGATTTCTCTCGCAACGATCTGTTAGCCTCTCACATGAGCACTCACACAGGTATTAAACCTTTCCCATGTCAGACCTGCAAAAAGAGCTTCAGTCGGAAAATTTATTTAACTCGTCACCTGAGAACGCACACAGGAGAAAAACCATTTGAGTGTCAGGTCTGTGGGAAAGCTTTTGTCCAAAAAGATAATTTAATTACTCACACAAGAACTCACACAGGTGAGAAGCCATACTCTTGTGAGACGTGTGGAAAAAGTTTCAGTGACAGGAGTAATTTAAAGCATCACATGAGGACTCACACAGGGGAGAGGCCTTTCTCATGTCACATCTGTGGGAAACGTTTTATTCAGAAGAATAACGTAGTAACTCACATGAAGGTTCACACAGGTGAGAAACGCTTCCCCTGTGAGGTCTGTGGTCTGTGTTTCTCTCGCAGTGCTAATCTGACGCGCCACATGGCCGCTCACTCAGAGGACAAACCTTTTACGTTTCAGCCGCCGGAATGAGGCTTCAGCCAGGTTTGTCATTTCAAATTCAATGTTTGTGTTCATGAAGGCTGGGAGATGTAATTTATTTGCTCTGATAACAATGAAATTGTTGAGAAGTTAAAGTTCAAGAACTTTGACTTCAATAGACTGAAGATCCTAAAACTCCAGTGTTAAAGGTGAATGTATTTAACCAATGCATTTGTTTCAGTATGTAATTAAATGGCAATAAAATTGTTCATCTGGCATCTTCCATAATGAAAATACAAATAAAGAAAAAGAGGAAATACATGAAACGTGTAAAAGATGAAATAATATACAGAATATAATCTTAACTGCACGTCAGCGTTTTAGCACCTTGTGAGAAATGATTAGAGTTTACATGTTTTATTTCTCATTTCTATAAACCTTTACTCTGGAGACAAACTTTCACATGTTTTTTGTATTTCCATCCAAAACATTGTTACCGAGGAAACAAGAGGCCAAAACATAACATAATATTAATGTTTTGCTGTGAGGTCATTTTTGCTGACTATTCCCTGTGAACTTCAGAGGTCAGACTTAAGTTTTAGTCGAGTGAAAGTCAGTTTTAGGATTCACAGTAAATTGTCATTGAGATAGGTATTCATTGATGTTTATTTATTAAAACATATTAACACTTGTTCGATTAAAAAAACTAGGCCAATTGTAACAACGCTGCTTGTCAAAATTATGTCGGTTAGACATAACTGACATTAAAAAAATGTTATTCATTTGTGTCGGTCGCTATAAATTGAGCTTTTCTGAATCATAACACCCAGGTCAGAATATCCAGAGATGG